TTTTTTAAAAAACCATGAGAGCTAGAGCTTAGATATTTGGCATGAAACATCTTCTAGTGAATGTCTACCAAGTTTGTTCAAATAAAAGCCCTGGTGTCAAAATTGGCCCCCCTGGGGGGTCATTGATTTTCCCTAGATGCATATAGTAAAAACTTAAGAAATCTTCTTTTAAAGAACCAAAAGAGCTAGAGCTAAGATATTTAGCATGAAACATGTTCTAATGGGTGTCTACCAAGTTTGTTCAAATAAAAGCCCTGGGGTCAAAATTGGCCACCGCCCGGGGGGTCATTGATTTTCCCTATATTCAAATAGTAAAAACTTAAGAAATCTTCTTTTAAAGAACTCAAAGAGCTATGGCAAAGATATTGAGCCCCCAGGGGTGTCATTGTTTTTAACTATATGTGTAAAGTAAAAACTTAAAAAAAAATCTTCTTTCAAAAAGCCCAATGAGCTTAAGCTTAGATGTTTAGCATGAAACATCTTCTTATGGGTGTCTACCGAGTTTGTGCAAATAAAAGCCCTTGGGTTAAATTGGCCCTGCAACGTTGGGGGGGGGGGTGGGTGGGGGTTGGGGGCCTATATACAGGTGAGCGACCTCAGGGCCATCATGGCCCTCTTGTTATATTCATTGCCAATTGCAACTGTTTCCCTTTGCCAAAAACTGTGATTTTATTTTTATATGTTTGACCCTTGAACATGCCAATTGAGTGGCAAGTAAAACATATCAGTTTATGTGCTAGAGAAATAAGTATTAAGTTGAATAATGTGCTGTCATTTTTGATATTAAAGCTTCTTTTGATGTATTGTCATTGTTTTTTCCCCAAAATTATAGAAATTAATTTATTTACCAAAAACTGTTGAAATAATAGAATTGCCTTATTTAGATTATTGATTTACTTTTTTGAGCTAACACAAGTGAAATTAAAACCAATATGAAGAGAACTGGTTTTTAACCAAGAGGCCTGTCTTACATGCTATGCATGTCGATAAAGCCAGTGTTTGGGTATGTATACATTTGTACATATATTTTTTCCAGAGCAATTACAAAAAGCAGAAAATACAACAAAAGAAGTTAAAGAGCAGATACTGGAACTGAGAGGTTAGTATATCTTATGATACTATGTTAAATTTATATCTCTACTCAAAATGTACCATACAAACACAATCTTTAATATTTACTTGCCTTAGCAGTCAATCTTTATATGCACAAAAGGTCAATGTTTTCATGCCCAAACAGTCACTCTTTATATGCCCAAGTGGTCTTTACATGCTTAAGTAGTGAATTCTCACATGCCCATGTGGTCAATTCTTACATGCCCATGTGGTCAATTCTTACATGCCCATGTGGTCAATTCTTACATGCCCATGTGGTCAATTCTTACATGCCCATGTGGTCAATTCTTACATGCCCAAGTGTTCACTTCTTATGTGCCTGAGTGGTGAATCCTGACATGCCCAAGTGGTCAATTCCTAAATGTCAAAGTGGTCACTTTTTACATGCCCAAACAGTCAGCCTTTCCATGAAAGCTCAATCTTTCTATGCTTGAGATGTCAGTCTTTACATATCTGAGTGTTCAATCTTTACATGCCTGAGTGGCCAATCTTTACATATCTGAGTGTTCAATCTTTACATGCCTGAGTGGCCAATCTTTACATATCTGAGTGTTCAATCTTTACATGCCTGAGTGGCCAATCTTTACATATCTGAGTGTTCAATCTTTACATGCCTGAGTGGCCAATCTTTACATATCTTAGTGTTCAATCTTTACATGCCTGAGTGGCCAATCTTTACATATCTTAGTGTTCAATCTTTACATGCCTGAGTGGTCAGTCTTCATGTGGCAAATGAAAGTATTTCATCTTAGCATGACTTATATTGACCAACAGTATAGAGTCTGGTTAGACATCTTGCCTGTTATAGTGGTTTTCTGGTTTTCATCTTTTAATAGCCACTTCTATTCCAGTTTTAAGCAGGTAAAAGTTTACAAACAGCACATTGTGTACTATATGTATATTTTGATTTCAGATCAACTTGTAGAAGAACAGAAAGTATCAAAACTAAACCAGGAGGAAATTGCCTCATTGAAAGGTATGTATATATATACACACACAATAATTATATTATACTCAATCATACATTGTAATACCCTACAATAGTAACAGTTTATCATAACTTTTTGTACTGCTTCATAGAAAATAATATGCTACTGTCTTTTGATATCAATTTTATTAGGCGAGACTGATATGGGCTGAAAGGGCAAGGCATGTCTGGCCGTTTCTGCCCATATCAGTCTCACCGCATAAAATTGATATCTAAAGATAGATATACTGGTTTTTCTATTTATCATGTATCCATATAAAAACTGTCAAAATTACAGAATAAGTCAAACACCTCAAAGAACAACTTCTGTTGTTATGTTTATAATATACAATAGACATCTACCATGTATTATACAAAAAAGATGATAATGTAAATCACATTTCAGAAACATTATTCAAACTTTTATGTATAATAAGAATACATTTCAGTTCTATATATCTGCTTGTCCTGCATGTAATTTGTTTACTGTATATTGATGTTCGATATAAAGTTTGTTTATAAGATTCTTATTTCTTATAATGATTGTAGGATACAGGATGTAGCATGTCATTGTGATGGGTTCACTGTAATACTGTTCTATATTGTTCTTGTTTATATGAACTATGTCATCTTGTCATTGATATAATGTTCATGTTTTAGAAAACCTTGAAGAAGAGAAGACCAGTCATAAAGAAACATTAAAACATCTTGAAACAGCCAAAAGTAAGCTTTATACTACCCATATATTCACATACATTATTGTAGCCTATAAATGTGTCCTGTAGTTGAATTTGAGATAGATGTGTATAATAATACATTTTATGATAATGGAACGGTCAGTTATAGCCCTGACCACTCACCCAGACCAGTACGTTGCCATGGTTTTGTTCCCACCCAGACCAGTACGTTGCCATGGTTTTGTTCCCACCCAGACCAGTACGTTGCCATGGTTTTGTTCCCACCCAGACCAGTACGTTGCCATGGTTTTGTTCCCACCCAGGCCAGCACGTTGCCATGGTTTTGTTCCCACACTGACAGGTAAACATGGTGGATTTGATTTGGCTACAAAATAGTGCAGTATTTCCAACTCACAGTGTTGAATCATTTAGCAGGAATTTCACCATTGGACTAAACCCTTAAGGTGGGTTTGATCTTTCAGTAGTCAAATTCCCTGTTGTACCACTTATATCAATTGTCAAGTTAAAATAAGATTTGGAACAATTAGTGATGAAATGTCATGAGAAGATGAAACAAATATATGGAAAAGAGCAATTGATCTTCTTGAGAAAAAGAACAACAACAAAAAAAAACAACACTTAATGCAGAAAGTTTTAAGTTATTGGCGGTGGAGTACAACATAATCATGTTTCCCATTATTTTTGGGAGACATATTGTTTTTGCTCTCACCGTCTGTCTGTCCCTCCATCCGGGTTGTCTGTCCGTCCAGCAGAAATGTAATAAGGGGCCATTTCTTTTGTTATTTTCTTTTGTTTAATAGAGCCCTTTACTCTATTGTTATGGAACGAACTCTATTGTTTTCTTTTACCAAATAGGGATAGGGGGCCATTTTACTGTAAGCAGAATTCACAGGATGCATAGTTTTGGTAGACATATGTTTTTGTGACAAAAACCCTCCTTGTTATGCCTGTTCTTACCTGTGTCACAGTATTGAAGAATGGTGAGCTGGGAAAGCTCAGGACTTGTAACCTGGTAGTTGTAGACTGGAATATCACCAGATTATAAGATTCTCTTCCTTTATCCTCACTGGTGTGATAACTTGTTAAGAAATTTAGATATCAGTCATGTGTGTCAGGTGTGCCATGTGCAAGGCTTGGACCCCTAGCTCCAATATCATTCTCAAACTTAAAGGTCAACGGTGAGCAGTTTGAAAATCCTGTCTGGCCTACAACTCAGGCATGATAGTCATGTATCAAGGGAAATTACTTGGCACACTTTGTAGCATGATGAGATGCTGTGTCAGGCACAAGATCCGTAGCTCCCAGGCCAAGGTCAAACTTAGAGGTCAAAGGTCAACAGATAGATATGTATGATTAGTTTATGAAACTTGGTGTATATGTGTACACTTTACATGATGTATGTTTATTTTTTTTTTGGAGGATTTATGTGATACATGCAAAATCAGTGACTTGTTACGCAAGTAGTGATATCTACTTATATTATATTTAAGTTAACTTGGAAGAAGAAAAGAGTAAACATGAAGTTACAAGGAGCAGTCTCACAGAGGCCAGAAGTAAGTTCAGTATTGTTATATTTTACTATTTTATTATTTGTCATGAACTAAGTCTGCTGGTTTCATTTAATGTTTTCCTCCAGATGTTTCAATCATCTATAACTTCTTCAATAATCATATGATGTGATAGTATTTGTAAGGTTTAAATTTATTTATAAAGTAAAACATAATTATAATAGTTTGTAAAGCCCTTTATCTATAGTGCTCTTATTAAGCAAAAATTTGTTTTGGTGAAATATTTTGGAAAGTCTGGAGAAAAATTTGGGCACTACCATATGATGATAATGCCAGAAATTTGAAAGTCAGTTGTACAGATGGTCAGTTTATATAGCACTCTCAATAAAGAATGAAGAAATGTAATTCTCATGTTATGTATTAAAGGCTATTGAAGTTTATTGTTTGTATTGTAGAGAGTCTGTCTGAATCTCAGCAAGCAGCGAAACAAAGCCAGAATGAGGCTACACAGTTACGCAGTAAGTATAGTAACAAAGTGACTTGTCTAAATGTTTTGTTGGTTAATAATGGAGTGAAAATAATGGAATTAGGTGATAAAAAAAGGGAAAAGGTTGAGTGGTATTTGGTTAGGTGATATCATAAAGAGGGTTAAGGTTGAGTAGTATTGGGTTAGGTGATATCATAAAGAGGGTTAAGGTTGAGTGGTATTGGGTTAGGTGATATCATAAAGAGGGTTAAGGTTGAGTGGTATTGGGTTAGGTGATATCATAAAGAGGGTTAAGGTTGAGTGGTATTGGGTTAGGTGATATCATAAAGAGGGTTAAGGTTGAGTGGTATTGGGTTAGGTGATATCATAAAGAGGGTTAAGGTTGAGTGGTATTGGGTTAGGTGATATCATTTATCATGCAACTGCTATGGTAACTGCCCGATAACACTTGCCTGATAATTATTTTTGATATCAGGTCAGTAACATGATATCAAAAATAAGCCCCGCCCATTTTAACGGACTTTTTTCAATTGATTATATTCTTATTTTCATCAGCATGTGAATTCTACAATTTATTCTCATACCCTTACAAGTCTTGATCAAGATGCGATATTTATTTATTAATTATTTCGATTTCAATTACGAATAAATTAGATAGCGAATAGTTTTAGCACCAACTAAATGAAGTGACGTCATAATTTATATTGCAAATGACATCATTGATGTTCACGTCATACATGTAATCATAACAAACAGGCTGGACGATTTGAAAACTTGTAACTGTTTACTTAATTTCACCTGATTATTATTTAATAAGTGAACAAATTGTTTTGTTTAAAAAATAAGACGCATGTTTGTGTAGCTTGTGTTTGATTGCCGATTTGACTTTTCTTTGATGAACTTTTGAATTTGACAATTCAAGACAAATATTGCAGTAAAGTTTAGTTTATGTGATTCTAAGTGGATTTTTGGATCGATGTTTAAATTAAAGGTAAGAATTTTATCGTATTAGGCCTACATTCTGTTGCATCTTTTATCCGAGTCGAAAGAAAAAATGGCGGCCATTTACAAATTCTAAGTTTCAGGGGCGGAGGAATTTGTTTTCAAGAATTATTTCTTTGAACAAAAATCCCCCTTTTTAAAGAAATTCGCTATTTAAAAGTAGATTATTTTGTTATTTTGACAGTTATTATGTAATACATGATAAATAGAAAAACATGCTACTGTCTTTTGATATCAATTTTATCAGGCTCGGCTGATATGGGCAGAAAGGGCTCGGCAAGCCTCGCCCTTTCTAGCCCATATCAGCCTCGCCTGATAAAATTGATATCAAAAGACAGTAGCATGTTATTCTCTATAAAGAGGGTTAAGGTTGAGTGGTATTGGGTTAGGTGATATCATAAAGAGGGTTAAGGTTGAGTGGTATTGGGTTAGGTGATATCGTAAAGAGGGTTAAGGTTGAATGGTATTGGGTTAGGTGATATCGTAAAGAGGGTTAAGGTTGAGTGGTATTGGGTTAGGTGATATCGTAAAGAGGGTTAAGGTTGAGTGGTATTAGGTTAGGTGATATCATAAAGAGGGTTGAGTGGTATTGGGTTCAGGTGATATCATAAAGAGGGTAAAGGTTGAGTGGTATTGGGTTAGGTGATATCATAAAGAGGGTTAAGGTTGAGTGGTATTTGGTTAGGTGATATCATAAAGAGGGTTAAGGTTGAGTGGTATTGGGTTAGGTGATATCATAAAGAGGGTTAAGATTGAGTGGTATTGGATTAGGTGATATCATAAAGAGGGTTAAGGTTGAGTGGTATTTGGTTAGGTGATATCATAAAGAGGGTTAAGGTTGAGTGGTATTGGGTTAGGTGATATCATATTGATAAAGAGGGTTAAGGTTGAGTGGTATTGGGTTAGGTGATATCATAATGAGGGTTAAGGTTGAGTGGTATTGGGTTAGGTGATATCATAAAGAGGGTTAAGGTTGAGTGGTATTGGGTTAGGTGATATCATAAAGAGGGTTAAGGTTGAGTGGTATTGGGTTAGGTGATATCATAAAGAGGGTTAAGATTGAGTTGTATGGGGTTATTCTATGGGGAATCAATTCTTAACAAGAATTACAATGGTGTTGAAAAGCCTTAAGTATGATAGACATGGAAAATGGTGCGGGGGTGGTGGGGGTATTTGAACAATACTTTGTATATAATTAGGAAGTCTAAGAGTGTGATAGATAAGGTAAGTGGGTGTTGTTGGTTTTTGTACATTACTATGGTTATGATGGGAAGGCTAAAGGTGTGATATATGAGGTAAGTTATTCCAGTTATATCAATTTTATATATTTTAATACTGTTAAAACTTCTAAACTTACCTAGTAAAGTTATTAAGATAATGTTAAAATAGTCAACACCTGATGTAGAATTGATTGATTTCAGGATATTGAGAACACATACCTGTATCAGATGTTACATTCTAATTGTGAAATATTAGCTTAGATAACAAGTTGATAGAGCTTGCATGTGACCATACAATAATTTGTAGAACTGTCATAGTCAACTGATAACCTAGGAGCATTGTCTAATCTTATTGATTCCTTTTACTCTTGTTAACAATAGCCTGCATCTAAAACAACCACTCTTGTATTGAAATTTGAACAATATTTGAGCCGTGTCACGACAAAACCAACATGCGTTTGCGACCAGCATGGATCCAGACCAGCCTGCGCAGTCTGATCAGGATCCATGCTGTTTGCTTACCAACCCTATTACAAGTAGAGAAACTGATAGCGAACAGCATGGATCCTGATCGGACTGCGCGAATGCGCAGGCTGGTCTGGAGCCATGCTGGTCACAAACGCACTATGTTGGTTTTGTCTGGACACGGCTCATTTAAACATTCCATCATGTAATTATAATACTCTTCATTTATATTAATCCACTTAGATATTACTTCATTCATCTAATACACTCCTATATTTATCAGGATTTTTTCCTCTTATATAATTCTTTCAAGTCCATACATGTATGTAAAACTATAAATTCATCTGAAAAAAAAAAAAAAGTTTCTCTCTGACATACAATTATGATAGGATAACTCCATGCCTTGCTATAACTTGCATTATAATGTTTACACTGTAATGGTATCAGTCCTTGATGTTATATATACACCAGATTTAAGACATAAAAAGGAAATGACCGATACATGTAAATAAAAAGCTACTAGCACATTTTGTATAACTTCTCTCCTAATAGTTTGTTGCATTAACTTAACCTGGTGAAAAAAATAACTAAATTTTGCTTGTATCAAGAACCTATATCATTTGAAAGGTATTAGATGTTTGCTAATTGTTTAATTGGATTCATCTCTGACATTAGGCCAATGTTGATCCACCCTGTAGTTTGCATGTTTTAATGATGAAACCTTATTTTCCTGATGAATGGTCTAGTTGTCTCCCTTTTCCTGCATGTAGTACATTTGGTTTTCCTTTTCAATCAGTCTATATTTTGAGAATGTTTTATTGTTTTACTGTGGTATCTCTTGCTTTGCTAACTTAAACCATGCAGATATTGAGTTTGAGCTGTGGTTGTTCTTTTTTGTCTTATTTCAGTTTTCTGTGCATGAAGGCATGGTTGTGTTTCCATCAATAGTTTATTGTGTGAATATTTCACCACTCATTTGTTTTGTTTTATCATCATTTGTTTTTTTCATGTTTTGATATTCGTGTAGATAAACTACGGCATCAGCCGTCTACACCTTCACCAGACATTGTGGATATGAGAAATGGAAGCCGCGATCGGCGTAGCACGCCAGAGAAACGTGCCATCCCTCATTGTAGATATTCATTTCATGTAGGAGACTCACCTTCAAAACTACCTATGAGTAAGCGTCAAGGTAAACAACGAGTCAATGACACATTATCTGTGCTTTAAGGCCTATTGTTTCTCTGTTGCTCTTCTTTCATTTTAGTGGTTATGAATTTTGTTGCTGATTTATTTATTTTTTTGCTGATCGGTATGCGTACATGCTTATTTTCCCTCGTGGCACTTTAAGTCATTTGGATTTAGTAAGTTATTGTTTTTACTGAATTTTCAAATTATTTTGGCTTTTACTGGAATACTTTTTGTAAAGAGGAAGTGTTATTTACAATCTAAATGTTTTCTGTGAATAAATGTAGGACAGCTCTGTTTATGGTTGATTTGGCAATCTTTTACATCAGTCTGCTTTTGAGTTGTTAAAATGTTGTCTAAAAATTAAGTGAGTTTTACGTACAATAAATACTAGAGATGATTATAACTGGAATACTGCTGCATGCTATATACAAGCTCATTTTATTGTATGTATAGTGAGATGTTGGAGATATAAGGTCAAATATTTTGCCAGTGATACAAGATGTGTTTTATTGCCAGTGATACAAGATGTGTTTTATTGCCAGTGATACAAGATGTGTTTTATTGCCAGTGATACAAGTTGTGTTTTATTGCCAGTGATAGAAGATGTGTTTTTGTGGTATAATTGTTTAGTACATGTATTGATTTAGTTCTCAGGCTTTTTGTCATTAATGAATGGTGTACAGACATGATCTGGTTTTAAAAGAAAAAGTTGAATTTGTCTATGCTATTATTGTGGGAGTTCTCTGTTATATTTTCTTTTATGTGGTCATATTGTTGTTATTTATGTTATGTTTTTATTTGCAATATTGTCATCATTTATATATAGTATCGTGTCATTGCTTGGAATGGTAAATGTCATTCAGTTAAACGTGATATACAATTAGATTCATTTGTCGGCAACAAACAGTGATTTCATCATTTTGCTCATGATTGCTTTCATTTGACCTTGACCTGGCATTGATCTCAATGTCTGATATATTTGCCTCAAAGTTAACTTCAGTACAATGAAATAAGACATTAGCAGCTGAAATGTAGAAGGACAATAACGAGTATCAACAAAAGCTTCTTAATTAAAATTGAAGATTAGTATTCATGAAATGTTACTATAGGTTAAGCCATGTTCATTATACAAAGGTATGGGTCATTGTATATTCATGAATTTTACCATGGGTTTATACATTTTTATGTAACATAACTCTGCATCATTGCATATTCATGAAATATAATTATTCGTCAATGCATATTCATTAAACATTATAATGAGTTAATGCTTATTTATGAAACATAACATAGATTAATGCATAATTATGAAACATTAAATTAGGTCAATGTTCATGTATATTCATGAATTTTGATAGGGGTTAATACATATTCATGAAACATAAATATGAGATAATGCATATTAATGAAACATTTCTATGGGTTTATGCATATTCATGAAACATGATTATGAGTTAATGCAAAGGCATAATATTACCATGGTTTAATGCATATTCATGGGATTTTACAAAAATTTGTGGAATGTTTATGAGATCTGGTGTAGATTTCATTAACTTGAAATGTTTATCTTAAATTTCTGTTGTACATGATCACAAATTATTATATGATAATTATATATTTTGGTTTTTATTTTATTTCCGCATTATTTCTGCATTCATGTAGTTTATTATCATACAAACATTTACTAGATTACACAAGTGCACTTTCATTCACAATGCATGGCATTTGGATTTATGCACCAGAATAAAGACATTTTATGTTCAGATATATGGTGTGTTTATGTATGTATCATTTTAATAGTGTGTTTTACATGTCTTGAGGTTTTTTCGAGTGTTTTGTTGTACTTTCATGTTTTTATTGGCCTTTAACTTTGCTGGTTCTATTTATTGATTTATACCACAGCAGTTTCCTTCCTTGACCAAACACCCATTCCTATTAATTTAGTCACCACCCAATTTACTATACAAATCATTAGGTATATTTTTTTTATAATTTGTTACCACTATACAAGAACCTAATTGATAATTTCAAGGCAAAGTCCGACCAAATTTATGTATTTTCAGTGGTATAATAAGTAAAACTTTTCTTATTCAAACAATATATAATATATATATATATAGATATATAGATACTATATAATTACATAATAATACTAAAGAACCATTCATAGTACGTGAAAGCTACTTGTTTTGTCTTTATCACTGTAGTCAGATTAAATTCCCTGTGATTGATAGTTCAGGTGATAAACTCATTACAAATTATTTAAAATTACACATTTTTTTTGGAATTGTCTGGAATTGAAACTATATAAGACATCAAACTAGATTTGTACTTTATCGTCAGATTTTTATATTATCTGCTTACATTTAGAATGCACCAATAAACCAATAGTTTTTCTGTTATGTCATACTTTATCAGCAAAGTTATAGTTTTGAGTACAGTTAAAGAGCTTCATATGGTCATATGACACGGGTTACTATTTTATATAATTGTAAATGACATGTACATTTATTATCTCTTACTGTGATTTTAGCCAATGAATTCCTAGCTCTGAAGGAGGAATGTTCCAGTCTTAGGAAACGAATTCAGGCAATTGAAGGGGAAATGAAAATGTAAGTGTTGTTTTAGTTTAGTACAATGTTTTAATGATATTAGATAAATAGATGATTGCTAATTCTTCTATCAAAGCAGTAAGAAAAAACATCAACTGTTTCACAATTGCAGTGTAAGAAAAAGTCAATTATTTAGCAAGTTTAGTGTAAGAATAAGTTAACTGTTTTTAAGTACAGTCGAACTTCATCGCTTGAACTCAGAGGGCATGTGCAAATTTGTTTGAGAGATTGGTTGTTTGAGCTAACCAAGGTTGAACTATTGTCACGTTCCATATAGGCCTTCACGTTATCCAACTTACATCAATCGAATGATAAATACGTCAATATTATTATTTGTAAGTACATCATTTCGTTGAATACGTCATTTCTTTAAAATATTAGGAATTATTTTCACAGTGTTTTCAAATGAGTATTAACAGTACTCTGTGTTACTCTTGCATATCAGACTGGCGTTTCCGCGACTTTTACCCATGCCGGAAATTTCATTTGGCATGGGGGGTGCCAGATGAATCACGTGCCAAACAAAAACATCATTTTAGCGCACTTTATGAATGAACCGCGTTAAAATGACGTCGTTTTAGAAGGGAAATATGTGCTTAGGATGACGTCACTTCGCTGTTGTAATTTAAGTTGTAAGTTCATACGCTATTGTAAGAAAATAGTTATGGATGAAATGACTTTAATTTCCATGAACATATATCATATTGAGGTAAATCATTTTAAATATGAAATAATACGGCTGAATATGCAAGAAAAAATATCTGACATATGTTTGCGGTGCCGATTGGAATATCCATCCCTCGGGAACTCGCCCATGGGCGGGTCCCCTCGGGACGGATATTTCGGTCAGAACCGCAACATATGACAGATATTATTAATCTATATTCATGCATATTGTAATAGGTTGAGTTCAATTAGACAATAATTTTCCAAACTTGTTGAACTATGTTCAAAATATATTTATCTTTTAATTATGGGATAAATTTAATTTTAAACAATGAATAAATAAACTATTTAAAAAAAAAAACCCATCTAACAGCAGCATTTATATATAGTCATTTCCTAAAATAAACACATGTAAGTGTCATTTTTAGATAACACTGCTATAATTCACGTTACATGCACGACGGCTGTAATTAAAGTTGTCCAAGTAAACGTTATCTATTTATTTACTTATTTCACAAGTTATTTTCTTCTTATAGTTTCTAAAGACGGCAAATAAACAATATTATCATAAAAGAAAATTGGTTACACCTCTAATTTTGTATCAATTAATCTTAATTTCTTTTATCTCAATCACAAGGTGTTAAAAAAAATGTGTCGCCCGCTGACACTTATTCAGAACATGCCGACCCATATCTTTTGTTGTCTTTTTGTGTTTGACCAAAAAGGTGTGATTTTCACTATATTTCTGCCAAAGGGACCAGAGATCAGGTTCGAGAGTTCAAGCGGTCGGTGTTTAAGGTCGAACAATATATATCATATAGAAACTTTGCCGGGACTGGGCAATTAGTTTGAGCAAAGGGAGGGATCCGAGTTCGAGCAAACAAAGTTTAACTGTATAGTATAAGTCAACTGTTTTGCAAGTATTTAACAAGTGTAGTAAACATAGTGTAGACAGAAAATAACTTGTATTAAAGTGACCAATTTGAATGACAGATCAATGTTTTGAGTTGTTTGATAATTAACCATGTTTCTATGTGCATGTGTAGGTCAAGGAAGGAAAACTTGCAGCTATCAGCAGAATATAATAAACTACAGGAATCATACCGTCAACTTGAGGCAGTGAAAGATCAGCTAGCAGACAAAGAGTCTACATGGATGTCAAATTTGACAGACTCTCAGAAAGAGACTGAGAGTACACTACAGGAGGTGAGGCTAGGAGACTCTGACTCACTCTATTATACCCATCAGGTACAGGGACTTGTTGCCATGGTGACAGCATGCTGCACCCAGTAATCATCGCTTGTTTTATCTTCTCTGCTGTTCCCACTTCACTTCGCATGATGGTTACAGTGGCTTGTGTTTTTGTTGTTTTCTTTCTTAATTTGAATGGGAGCTTAATTTTTATAGTAGTCACATTGTCTGTTCTGTCTGTCTGAGCAACTAGATTAGATTTTAGAGTCATAAAACAGTAAAAGAACAATGGAATAATTTCATGACAATAGAATTATAAACTGTGGCCCTCAATTTTAGAAAAGTAAATAAAAATGATGGTCAATTTAAAAGAATATATGTCCAAACTTATGTTCGTATAATAACTTAGTATTCTCCACAGATTTTTAGCTCGACTTTTCTATGAAAAGGGGAGCTATCCTACTTGCCCCGGCGTCGGCGTTGGCGTCACACCTTGGTTAAGTTTTTCGTACCACCCCACTTTATTTCAGAAGTATTACAAGTATGGCTTTGAAACTTACCATACTTGTTCACCATCATAACCTCCATCTACAGACAAGAGTACATAACTCTGTCAAGGTTTTGACAGAATTATGGCCCTTTTTTGACTTAGAAAGTGTATTGAGCTTGGTTAAGTTTTTTGTACCACCTCACTTTATTTCAAAACCATTGGAGGTATTGCTTTGAAACTGACCATACTTGTTTACCATCACGACCTTCATCAACAGACAAGAGGACATAACTCTGTCAAGGTTTTTGACAGAATTATGCCCTTTTTGACTTAGAAAATACATTGAATATGGGTAAAATCCACTTATTGCCTTAACCCTTTGAGATATTGCTTTGAAACTTTTAATGCTATTTCACATCATTACCCCCATCTGTACGCAAGAGAAGGTAACTCTGTCAGGGATTTGTTTTAAAAATTAAGGCCTTTTATCGACTTAGAATCTTGGTTAAGTTTTTGTACCAGTCAACTTTTTGACTGAACTGGTTGAGATATTAAATTGAAAGTTGGAATACTTGTTTACCATCATGGTCCCAAACATGGGCAGGAGAAGGTAATTCTGTTAAGGATTTTATTTGAATTATGGCCCTTTTTGACTTAGAAACTCAGTTAAAATTTTCATTCTTGTCCACTTGTTGACCTAACCATTTGAGATATTACTTTGGAAGTTGGAGTTCTTATGTGCCATCATGAGACCTATCTGTAAGCAAGAGAAGATAACTCTGTGAAAATGTTTCTTGATTTGTACTTAGAAATTCCTAGTTAAAGTCTTGTGTGCCCTTAACTGTCAAAGTTTTGTTTTATAGGCAAGCACTAAAAAAGTCGAGCGCGCTGTCCTTCTGACAGCTCTTGTATTTTTTAGCTTTTGACTTTATTTTTAGTTATTTTGTATACTTTCGATAATTTTTTGATAAACTATATCGAACGTAGGCACTAAAAGTTAAAAATAAAACAGAAAGAGAAAAATAACGTTAAATTTTCTTGGTAACGGTCGATATTTACATTTGAATTTCGACGTTACGTCATGTGACTTTCATCATCACGTGACGTCTTTGAAGGCAGTGATTACAATTCTGCCAAGGGAGGTAATCACTGTGAGGAGTTTGGCGATTGATGTGGGACATTGAGTCTAATGGTCATTTATCTCTCACTACTTATTCAGAATTAATGTGTAGTTGTATTTGGTCACTTGCTGAGAAATTGATAATTACTGGTTAGTTATCCAGGAAAGAAGTTTACATAGACCAATCTTGAGATATGACCAAAAACATGTTATTTAATATCTGCGTCGAAACCAACATAAGTTAGAGTTTGCTGAAACTTTTATTTGTCATTTTGATGTTTTTTATTTTAGCACTGTCTCTTGTATTGCATGGTAGCTTTTTTACCTGTAGTATTTACTATTTTTGTTTTCTATTTGAATGATGTTACACCCATGATGTCAGTATGTCAGTAATATGTTAAATTTATTCTTTGTTACCACAACACTAATGGTTAGAAAGTTTCCAACAGTATAACAGTGTTTAAAACTCAACCAACAGACACCTTACTGTTTGAACATGTTACCATGTCTGGTATTGTTATATGAGATATGATCTGCTTTAAGTAGATTAAGATTGAAGGGCCCATACAATGAATGGCAACAAATAAATAAAAAAATAAATGGATTAACAAAATAATAACCTAACTGAAGATTTTGACAATAGCAACTACTTTTCTCTTTTTTTAATCATTAACAAATTTTAAAAAGAAATCTTTATATACAAATCAGATTTTAACATGATTATTGAATTTAATGCATTTCTTATGAAAATAGATGTATTTACATTGTTTATTTGAAGTTTACCCATGTTAGTATAATGATTATTATTTATCTGAATTTAATGCCATGCTAATTAAGATTTTATTATGTTAGATTTGAGATCTTCATTTAGAATTAAGATTTGATGAAAATAATATAATTGTTGTTGTTGTTGCTATAGTTACAGGAGGCTAAAGAAGAGATTAAGAAATTGAATAAGAAATGTGAAGAATGTGATCAGGAAATAACTCGTCTCAAAACTGAACTGAAGAAAATATCCGGTAGCTACGGACGTATAGCAAGCAGGAGTAAAATTGTAAGTTGTTACAGATATTTTCTATAATTGAATTACATATACATTGCCTGGGAAAATTTGATATTGGACCTCATTTTCATGTTTTTGGATTCATTAATAACGGGCAGTTTGGAAACTTTTGAGCTAGGTTATGGAACATTGGTTGTTCTTTTCTGGTCCATGTTTGTGTGTGAAATATGCTTGGGGGAACATTTGAGGTCTTCCTTCTCCATTAAAGCTGGTCTTCAAAGTGTCTGTGTGACTTAAAAACCAAAACTAAATATAAATGGCAGACCTTCTATATATGTGAGAAGTTTCCAAAACTTTCAATTGATTTATTTTTAAGACATACAGCAGTGTACAATGTACATACATTTTAAAGATCATTTTTTCTTTTCTAACAAGTTATTGTTTGTATTGAGCCTGGTTATTATACTTTCAATATTTTCTTGATAGTACAGTATAGGTTGTTAGTGTATAATGTAAAAGCAATGCCAATTTGAAGGTATTTTAATGAATATGAATGTTCTTAAACAAAAACCGTATCAAAGTCAACTGACCTTTTAAGTTTTAAAACTTGTTGCTTCTGTGTCTATTTATAATTTTTTATTTTGTATACTATTGTAACTTCACTATGATCAGGTATTTAACAAGTGTATTATATTCTAAGATTTGTTAGATATTTTAACTTTCATTTTGAGTTTGTTTATATACCTTAATTTATATTGATTAGCCAAGAAGAAAATAAAGGTAGATCCTTCAGAATGAAATCTTGCTATGAACAAAACTGTTTAGAACATAGCAATTAAATAACTTTCTACTGTTTCTGTCTGTAAATATCTTTGTTATGTACATGATAGCACATTTATCATCTGATGATGTCTCTATAAAGGTACTGAATGTTCATGAATGATATCCTCTTATAATCTGTCCCTGAAACTCAGCAAATGCGGGGTTTTTCCATCTTATCCCAGGGTACCAACAACAACAATAGTTTACTGTTATAGCTTCAAGTGACCTGCTAATCCAGTGGTATATTGTTACTGAACATATGAAAGTCAAAATAAGTTTATATTTGTCATTTTTACATTCAATTTTACAGTATTATTTGCATAAACAATAATACAGGGAAATTTCTGTAAATATCAATCAGAATTTACTTGTAACATTCAATTAATAAAAAGAATGGGGTAGTATTTTTATATTTTAGGCAGATTTATATTTTATCCTTAACATTTTCCAGTATCAACTGTTGGTCAATACTATTAATGCATTATAACAGTCAAGCTTTTGAAACTATATAGTCAATTCAGCTTATCTTGATAATGAAAAAAATGACCATAATTTCACTATCATGGTTAATAAGTGTTCTCAATAGAATTGTTTATGTGTAACACTTATTATATATATACAATATTTACCAAATTGTAACTGTAAAAAATTGTTTGTGCCTTGGGATCAGCTAGGAAAAACCCACATTTGCCGATTTCCAGTGTTTATATAATGCATACAATCTCTACTGGCCTTGATGCATTTGGAGCCTTTAAAATATGTATGTAAGTAGCCCCCTATGTAATGATGATGGCTCCACATTTATTGCATTTATTCAGTATGAAACATGACTCTTCTTTATAAATATAAAATTTGAAACCAGTCTCCAGCTATTACTATGATTGGTCAATGTTGATTGGTTAATTTGAATGACAAGAATTGTAATTTCAACCAATGGCAGATCTCTATTTCTAAACTGGTTACCTGTATTAAATGTAGACTTGCAATTTATAAGAATGTCAAGTTTTCTAGTTATACTCAACAATAAACTGTATATTCTACTTGCATTTTATCAAGTATGATCAGCTAAGAACTGTTTTTGTGTTATTATTAAACAAATGCTATCAGTTTATATGACTGACTTTCACTTCGTTTAAAAAGCCTACAAACTAGTCTGAATAAAACCCATCAATTGACTGTTGTAATTTGTTCATTTTACAAAATATGTAGTATATTTTATTAGATATAATTAGTTGATGTTTGAGAGAGTTATTGTAGATGATAAAGGAATATATTTATGTAAGGTTAAAGATGAAGAATCAATGATTTACTATTATTACTGTAACTTTGTTAACTACCAGACGAGATGACAGTTTTGTAAATATATTATCATTTTTATTTCAGATTTCGTTTGTGTCGTGTATACCTCTACTGATGTTGTTATTTGCTATATTACTAGCATTATATCCCTCCCTAGAGACTCTGACAGCAGCAGGATCACATACATAATGAATACTGTATGTTAGTACTGTATAATTGTCCCTCCATTGTTTCTGTATCATACAACAATCTACATGTGATGTAAAGATAAAAGGGTACACAATAAATGTAATTTCGTCAGCCCTTGCAGGTATACAAACATATAGTTACATATGTATCTACATGTTCTGTCGTTGTATGGCAGAGTATAAACATGAATGATCAGATGTTGAGATGAGATGTCATGTCATGAAATTAAATAAAGCTTTGTGTTTTTTTCGAGTATGAGTGTATTATTGTTACGCAGTGCATATTATTGCAGATTACTGCCAGTTTAAATATACACTAATTTCCTTAATATTAAATCTATTCCAATTATCTAGTGGAATATTTTTGAAATCTACAATTCTAGAGGTAATTGGATTTTAATAAGGCCAAAGTAATGTAAAAGTATTGAGTATACTTTAAAATAAGTTTATACCACTGCTATCATGATGTAAATTACCATATTATCATTTATACTATTTCTACTGACTTGTGTTAAAATTTATAATAATAAATGATATTTAACAACTTCTAGAACACAGGTGTACACTTGTTTAGAAAATGGCCATCAATTGCAATCATGTGTTTATTCAAACATTATTTCATCTTATGTACATTACTAATTAATTCTCTTGTTTTTTAGTTTTATTTAACTTTATTCTGTGAAGAACGTTTTTGTAGTGTATTTAACTATAAGTGCTAGCTATAAATATTTTCTACATGAAATAGTTTGTTTTCTTGCTTTGAGACATTAATCAAAACATTTGTTTCTGCTAAAAATCTGTTCATGTGTTGTTTTTATCTCTGTGCCAAAATGATATATGATTACATAAAAAAGTTTTCTTCACAAACTGTATTACTGCAGTGTTAGAAGTATACAACATTTAAACCATTTCTTACTATCAACCCTGTTTTATGTTTACAGTGTTTCCATATACACATTATTTTGTCATCACATATTTGAAAATGGCTTCATATAAGACAGCTTTGATTGTAAATTCTATGTTATTCTTAGTGGCTACATGCAAACATTGTTATATGAGCCGCCTCATGACAAAACCAATGTAATGTGTTTGCGACCAGCATGGATCCAGACCAGCCTGCGCATCTGCGCAGTCTGATCAGGATCCATGCTGTTCGCTATCAGTTTCTCTACTTGTAATAGGGTTTTTAAGCAAACAGCATGGATCCTGATCAGACTGCGCAGATGCGCAGGCTGGTCTGGATCCATGCTGGTCGGAAACCCATAATGTTAGTTTTGTCATGGCGCGGCTCATATATTATATCATAAGCTTCATTGCATGTATTTAAGTTTAGCACAGATAACACGCTGTGGTTCATCTTTCGTTTTATTTATTACACAAAGCTTGGGATATGGAGCTACTTTTCACATTGAAAGTATCTGCGTCACATATTTGTTGTATAGATTTTACTAAGGGCAGTATATGTCTGTATTTATTGATTGACCAAGCTATTTAGTTGACCATACATTATTTATTGTCTTGCTAACTTCAGAAAACATGCATTCTACCATTAGTCAGTCTTTAACCGCCTCTGTGGTCGAGGGGTTAGAGTTGATGACTTCTAAACCAGTTACCTCTCTGGTGTGGGTTTGATCCCCGGGAGCTGCTTTGGTAGTTTAGCGCGGTGGAAGGTAGTCTAGTACTGGTGTAACTCTCCAAAACAATGGTTAGAAAACTACCCACTTATTTGACTGAAATACTGTTGGGTGTAAAATGAAACAAACAAACAAACAAAATCAATAGAAAATATGGTGAAATGCTAGGCTGCCACATAATATGAGCTGCGTCATGACAAAACCCACATAGTCGATTTGCGACCAGCATGGATATAGACCAGACTGCGCCTCAGCACAGTCTGTTCAGGATCCATGCTGTTCGCTATAGTTTCTCTACTTGTAATAGGGTTTGTAAGCGAACAGCATGGATCTTGATCAATCTGCGCGGATGCGCAGGCTGGTCTGGATCCATGTTGGTCGCAAACGCATTACGTTGGTTTTGTCATGACGCGGCCCATATATTTCTTTTACTTTTGATTGGTTAGAAATGTGTCCATGAGAAACTTAAGAATTTAATACTACTATTTTAAGGAGTATTTTAAGTCTATCTTAAGTTTATCTTCTTGTCATTTTATAATGTTGTACAAGATATATTTTCACAAGTGAAATCAGGTCACATTTTTTTAATAAATTTTCTGAAATGTCGCTATTAACCATGGTTTTTCAACAATATAATAAACTTCATCGTAATATAAAAGTGAAGAATTAACCTATTAGCAGGTGTAATGTACATATTGTGGTTAAAGTCACCAACATTTTCTCTGTAAACACAGCTGATTGTTGTGATTTTATACCTATATTTTTGGATATGTTCTTAACTCAGAGGACTGTAGTTGTTTAATGGTAAAAGCACATTGGATATTGTAATTCATCATAAAGAGATCATGTAACATTTCTAGCACTGTTCTAGCATGTATTAAATTGGTGAATGTGTATGGTATAAAATACAATAACTTCCAGATAAACCATGCTGATATAGATCTAATGTATCAAACAAATATAAAGTATATTAATTGATGACTTTGAGCTGATAAAATTGGTGCTACTGTTTCTGACTCAGCTAATAAGCACAGTCATTGATGTATTTTTTGTCCAGTGTAGTAAAAAATATGAAACCAATCGCAATGTTGTAATATCCGTTACTAAAAGAAATCTAATTAATCTAATGAATTTAAGATAAGCTACAAATAAAAGTGGTAGACCTCCATAACTGATATCTATGAACGATGATTTTCATTTGTTATACACCTGGCAGTTTGATTTTTGTCAGAAATGCGGATTCTTTTCATGCCTGGAATCGAGCTTGATCAATGTCATTGACTCTTACAGACTATTTTAGGGAACTCCACTGTTGTCCAAATGTCCAAAAACTTTAAATTTGAAAATCTTACATAGATCAACTTAGACACATAAGACAGATAAAAAGAAAGATAAAAATTATGATAAAGATATATTGAGAATAAAATTGAGAATTGATATTACGTGTGGTTCTAAGCTCGGTTCTAGTTTAAAGCATTTAAAGGCTATATGATTTTCTGGTGTTATTGCGTTACAAAAGGATTATTCTGGATAAGTGGAATGAGTCAATGGTCAGAGATTCTTTTCACATGTTATTGGTACATCAAATAGTATTAAAATCTTAATACAATATTTCCAGTCCCACCATGTACAGAAGCTTCAGTGGAGTCCCTTTAATTGTTTGACATGTTGCTTTTGTTTTTAGGAAGAATGTTAAAATGATATAATGCTTGTTTTTGTTACTCAGATTTAGCTAGCCAGAAATGTTTAACTCTAAATGTTACAAACAAATTTACCTGAATGTGCTGTTGTTGTTGTTTTTTGTTATTGTTGATTCAAGTATTATATAAATGCATTGATTATTCTTTAGAAGTGCTGAATTATTTCATTTATATATTATCTTATTGTTAGATTCATTTGAATTTTTAGTCTAAAAAACAAAACAAAACAATAAAAAAATGAGATAAAAAATGAAAGCTATGCCTTTTGTTAATCATGTTAAACTTTTGAAGATGCAGTATAAGTGAAGATCAATTAATTGTAGTATTTATATATTTTTTTGAGAATATGAAATTGGTGTTCTAAATATTTCTGTATACAATTCAAATTAGAGATAGTATTTACTCGCACAATGTTACCCTAAACATTTACAAATTCTAATACTATTATCTAAGGGTATAACAGTTTTATCAATGATATATCATACAAAATTAATGTACTACATACATGCAATATTTCTAGCCAACAATACAGGAGTAACTGGCTTTAAAAACCAAGCATCATTATCTTTAGAGTATGCAAAATGATTTTGTATTTTTCTCCTACTTTATTATCTCAAAAACCATTTATGATATCAGCCGAGGCTAGAATACCAAATATGTAAATGCACTAAAGCCCCTGATGTTACAAATAATGACTCGGTGTTATAAGTGATTCAGGTCTTTATTTCACAGCTCTTCCCTATTAAGATTATTGGATAGTTGTTTACTTTACTTACAAGAAACTGGATATAGGTTATCTAAAAACTTAATGTGAAAACATCAACATTATTATGAATTGTTATACTTTAATATATTAAAAACACAAGCATTTGAGATGTATGGATCGTGAAAAAACTAGACCTTTATAAAACTATATGTATGTCATTTTCAATCGGCAAATTTTGAAGAAGTAAAACAAAAACCTTTCCATACATTTAATGAGCGCCATATATTATTACTTTGTTACAACATTTTTGTTACCTTCAAAGTGAAAACATTGTTGTATATAAAGAACTTGCATTAGTGCTGTACATTTTGTCCTTTTATTTTATGTTAAGAATTTCATCTTTATGTATAAAATTGTCCCTTCACTTGTAAAAAGTGTATATAGATCTGTTCTTTGTTGTTTACCTTTGTTTTTAATTTATATGAAAACTTAGAGTAGTAATCATAGTTGTAATAAGCAGTCTAACAGAGAAAATATTGACAAACAATTATTTTCTGGTTGATTTTCTTAATTTCTTTTTTTGTAGTCAAGCATTTATCACAGGAAAATGTATGAAAAACATGTATCACATGAAACAGTAAAAAACTTAACATCCCTTCTAGCTATAAGAGCATGTATTTGTACATTAGATAATCTACACCTAACTTTGTTCCAAAACATTACAGATTATATTATAAAGAATAAAAGATTTAATTTAACATGTATATCATAATTATTTTGTAACATTTTTGTGCCCCAAAGTGGGGAGCATAGATAAACCCTTGTCCGTTCGTCAGTTCTCTTTTTTTTATTTTAAACTTGTGTCGAATGTAACTCAAAAAGTATTTGACTTAGTCATGAAACTTATGTTGTGTTACTTGTTCCTTGAGTGTTTGAGTTAGAATCAACCAGCTTTACAGGAATATTAATGATCAACATCACAGTGAAGCTATGCACCTGGGACTTTGCATGTGGATTTTTTTCAGTTTTGTTAGAGTTATTGCCCTTGACTTAGTATAAATTTGCAATTTTCAACTTGTTCATGCATAGTTCAAAAAGTATTTGACTTGTAGGCCTGAAAGTTTACAAGAATGTTGGTCAGCATGTGTACTTATGCACCTTGGGATTTGCTTGTGGATTTATTCAGTATTTGTAAAGTTCTTGATCTTTAATACTTAGTAAACAGATTTTTAGTTTTCAACTTGTGGCACATGTAGCCCAAAATATTTGACCTAGGGCCATAAGATTGACAAAACAGTTGAGTGTTGGGGCACCCGTGTCCTATGGACACATTTCTAGTTTTACTCTTATTTTTGTTTTATTCATTTAATATCATTTCCATATTGTTTAGAAACTGCTGAGTTATTTTATAAATGGACATTTTTTTCTGTTAGACTGCATAAAGACCAATATTAAATTCACAATTTGTAGTTTAAATCACACATTCAAATAAATACAAAATAAATGAAATATTTCTATGCAACTTCTGAGTTTGTTTTCCTTTTGCAGTTATTTGACAGATAAACAAAGTAGTTTGGCTGGCTAGTTATTGACCTGGCACTTCATTAACTTTCGGTAATTAGATAAACACTAGTATCTAACGAATGTATCGATATATTTCTTAACATCACACGTCAGTGAGGCAACTGATCTGAAGGTTTCATAACCAACACCGTGTTATGAAGAGACACATTTTTAAAAATTTACTTGTAAGAATTAATTTTATTTTTTAAACTACATTTTGGTTTTAGGATACCTTATAGTAGTGTTTTTATTAATCATATATTTTTTTATTTCATTGCATTATCCTTAATGATTAAAAAGTACAGCGCGTTTATAATACCACACACACGCACGCACGGACACACATGGTTAGCACAAGTTTTTAAAAAATGACAATTTTAAAATTAAAATGACAATTTTAAAATTAAAATAAGAAAGAAATAAAAGTGGCTTAACCAGGTTTGAACCTATGAGTTTACATCCAAAAGACATTTACCGACAACGCTTGGAGGGATTCTAAACACCATTTAAAGATTCACATTCATATCGATTTACATGTACATGATCGTAATGTTTACGAAATTTTCCGACTAAAGGGTCAAATGCAAGAGTGCCAGGTCGATATCGAGGGACAAAAACTTGACACAATGTATTTTTTCAAGAATGCTAACAATCTTATTAATAGTATTGCCATAAGGAAATAATTATAGAGAATGAAGCAAAATATTATGGAAGTTGTCGATATGGCAATTTAAATGTGTAACTCGTAAATTTCTAGAAACTGATAGGCTATATAATCATTCTATTTTAGAAAGACCCGGAAACCTTCAAAAATCTTTTGAACAGGTCTTAAAAAGTAACAATTAGATGAAAGGCGCATTTTGCCTCCAAAATGATTTTATTTTGTAATAACAGATTTAGAACATGTGAAATGTTTATCACCTTGAATGTAAAATAGTTTGTGATAAAGGTTAAGCAAGATATAAACAAAGTGATATTTTGACTTCAACACAAAGTACTTGAGGTACTTTTACACTTATACTTACTGTCACATGTCACCAGTAACGCGCTTAAATAGTAAATTTTGAAACACAAAGAAGTCATAGTTTACCCCTGTGCAATTTCCACAGTGTTACCAAATAATTGAATTTTCAACTGCACAGTGGCCAATGAGAAACTAAACGTACAGTAATCAGTTACAATAATGGAGGCTAGCCCAAATAAGGGCTGTTTGTGCCAGCAAAGGGCGCCGTCATTCAAACTGTCCTTCGTATTAGGGCTCGCGCACCCTTTCCTCCTTCCTCATCGTCTCTGGCAAATTAAAGGGTCACTCCCCTCGGTTTCAGTCAGAAATTCGGCAGCTTATACCATACGGACTCAGTCGTGCAGTCTTAAAAATGTTAGATCGAGCTGTAGAAGTATGCGGATTTACACAAACTTCCGTCTTACATATTGCAGAGGATGTTCAATCATCTACTGATCTGTATCTCTCCGCTACATGCATGGACTAAGAGAAAAGAGAAAGTACTTGTCACTTAACATACATGTAGATTCTACATACATGTATATAGATCTTCTTTAAATCTCAGTTTGGAATGAGATACATTTAAGCTCCCGTTATCATACATTAAAATAGAGGGAAACGGAATCCCTAAAGAACGCCTAAACATGACGGAGCCTGTTCATAGACGGTATTTGTCATTGCAAGTTACCACGCCTCCTAGCACCAGCTTCAGCATCTAAATTTTTGAATTGTGTGGTAAAAAAGCAAACAAAATAATATTATAAAAAATTTAGTTGTAGTTAAGGAATATATTATAGTAGCTATGACAGAATATGATAGAACTGACAAACATGTGATAAGGAACAAATTATCATTGAAATGATGATCTGGTAAGGGATAGCATAAAGTATTATTCATATATTTTTTTATTTTTCCAAATAAACTTACAAAATATTAAATTAAATTACCTGTTCATGGTCACATTTACGTGTTTTATGCAATACGAAAGGATATATGCAGAATTATATAAAACTTGGTAAAGTGACAAAAAGAGACGTTTAGACTAGGGCTATATCAATTTATTTAGAGGCAAAAACATTGTGACGTTATATAATATTGATAATAAAAATAAGGCTTATAAGCCCATGATGACATAATACAGCATATTTACAAGATAACGAACAGTGCATATATTAACATACTAAACATTATCACAATATAATTATGACTTTACTGAAGAAGGTCATAATAACAACTTATTCGTAAGAACATATAATAATGCAAATATTAATTTATTTTTGTCTTACACTCACGTACTTCTTACCTTTTAAAATGATTGCATGAATTAAATGTTCTGTTCTGGAAATGTTTAGCTACCCAAAAAATGATATAATTTACCATATTAATCTATGAAGTAGTTTCACAACAAACATAATAAATTTACACTACATTACATAAATTATTAAACTAAATAAGTTTATCTTACCTCACTATTGAGGCAAGAGACATAGATTATATTATATAAATTCCTATTATACCAATAATCCCATATTAAATAAGTCTTACCGAAACGAAACTGTAAGACCGGTAGTATGGCATGCAAATATACATGATTATATAACATATGTCATATGTTATAAAACAAACTATAAATGAAAGAAAGCACACTTTTAAAACAGAAATCACCATTGATTTTATATGTACACGTCAAAAACAGTTTGTGTTCTAAAAAAAGACAAACTATAGATGACAACAAAGGACATTTTCAAAACAAATATCATCATTGGAATTTCCAGTTCCAGGACATCTAAATTCGTATAGAACAAAAATACGTCTGAAGTTTCCAGTCTACATCTCAATACATTTTGTTTGTTTGTTTGTTTTGGGTTTTACGTCACATCGACACAGTATAGGTCATATCGCGACGTTCCTGCCTTACTGATGGAGGAAGACCTCAGGTGCCCTTCCGTGCATTATTTCAGGCATGAACGGGTACCTGAGTAGAACCACCGACGTTCCGTAAGCTAGCTGGATAGCTTCCTCACATGAAAGAATCCAAAGTCCCTGTTGGGATTCGAACCCACAGCAGTGAGGGGCAAGTTGTGTTACACTATGAAGAGAAGACAAACTTTAAAAGAAAATTACGGAAACTTTCAAAACAAAAAGGGAAATGATTAAAAATGATGATGGGAAGAAATATCATTTTTGTGCACTGCGCTCAAATTCTCAATAAATTGTATCAACCAATGAAGTTTCAAAAATTATCATATATAAGTATACAAACTGTATTTTAAAAAAAATTAAGTAAATATGTATTACGCTCAAGTTAAAAATGAGGGCCATTTTTTAGGGCTTAATTTATATAAACTGGAGGCGTGTCGCTTTAATAATTTCCAGTATTAGGAAAAAATAAAAGAATTTATTTAATTTTACCCATGAAATATGGTGCTATATGAGCCAAATATATATCATATTTGTGAAAAAAAACAAATATAAAAAATAAATAAGAAAGTAACTACTTTCTAAGATGTTTCTCTTTAATTTGGAAAGACTATCTTCAGCTATTCTCATCAGAAATTATCTCGTAATGTTTTTGTCTTTTCAAGACTGTAATGGCTGTGATAAATTGTGTATTGATTTCAAACCGCTTATCATGTTTCGTGAAAATATATTAAATATTTCACTCAAACGCAAAAATTTCCTCTTATTATTTTACATTCTATACAGATATTAAGAGAAATTTATACAATAAGCATATCTATATACACAAATTCCAATAAAAATTCCATTCAGCTCTTTAAAGCTGCATGCCTCCAGATGAGCTAAAATAGTTCAATAAAATCAAACTTGAGAAAAATGTACTAACATTTTAAGAAAAGTAAAGAGATTTAAGATTCAATTAATAATTTACATGTTTTGTAAGATTAATGACTAATTTAAATACAGAATAAATCCATATACTTCTGCTTCGTTACTGACATATTTTCACTTCCTTTTGGTAATTTATGTGAATTATATGAAATTGTAAGCATCGTTTGCAATTTGTCAATTACTTTCTTTGTTCACTTCACAATATTTTTACTTTTCAATACATCTTCAAAATTTTCAATGAATCCGGAGGCATGCTATTTAAAATTCGTATCATATCTATCCATTATAAAATATATTGTACAGTTTAGAAAAACTTATATTGCGAATGCTATTGTTCAGAACTGCACTATGTATTGTCATTAAAATACTCAAGCCTGCCAACATTGTTATCAAATTTATCTCCAAAATGTACAATATTCTATAATGGTTCTTATCTATGAGGCATGCAGCTTTAAAGTGATATCACTCCAAACAATAATTATTTACAAATAAGATAAATCATGATACAGTATTACACTAGCTAAAAATATATCAATGGTAACACAAATATACAATTTAATTAAATACGTATTTTATAAATACTATATACACCTCTCTGTCAATTTATTAATTCTTATTTTTCTGTTATGAAGGAATTTTGCTCTATTGTAAATTCATTATAAGATTCTTCACAGGTAATATGGCCATATATAAACAGTTGTAAGCAATATTATCCTCACCTAGCAGCTTGAGTTATATATGCAAACAGCCGTAACAAATTCAGAATCTTTATAACTAAGAATATACACTGCAAATTATCATTTAATGTTTCATTTAATGTTTCAAAGACAAAGGGAGCAGGAGAGCAATATCTAAATTTGGTTATAAAGACTTATGAAATGTTATATATGACCGTGCATGAAATGTTGTTCGTTATATAACCAACACCTCGTGACTTTGGTTACATACTTAAAGCTCGTAATACTGGGCAATTAAACCTGTCAGAATCAGAATGAATTATAATGTATCTTCATATACATAATTTCCGTGTAACACCAACATAAAATAAAAAAGTAACGTGAACGTTTGTTAATAAAACTGAATTATTAAAATTAAGAGCGAAACTG